ATTTATAAGTGGTCAAAGCAATCCTTCACTAAGAAGGAGTGTAAAGTGAGTGCTATTTACATTGCTCCAGCCACTCCTCAGAAGGAAGACTGGGAATTCTACTTCCATAGAGATACCGCCTCAGAAACCCAAGGCAGGCTCAATATGAGTCGGAATCAGCTCCACAACAGTGGATTTTTGAGTTTTAGGTGTTATAAGTAATCTAGAGATGATTTAAAGTATATGGGAGGATATGCCTAAGTTATATGTAAATACTACTTCATCCCTTTATATAAGGGACTTGAGCATCCACAGGTTTTTGTATCCACAGGGGGTCCTGGAACCAATCCCCTGTGGATACTGAGGGACAACTACATATATGTATACACACACACACACACACACGCACACACACAGTGAAACCTCTGAGAGCTGGAACTCCAAAGGACTGCCTTGTTTTTCCAGGTCTCACAAGTTTGCTGCCTTTGCATATGACAACTGTGATAATTAACAACTAACATAATACACACATATATACATACATAAGGAGCCCTGGTGGTGTCGTGGGTAAGGCAATTGGCTGCTAACCAGAAGGGTGGTGGTTCAAACCCACCAGCTACTCTGTGGCAGGCAGATAAAGATCTATACCCTTGGAAACCCAATGAGGGTCACTATGAGTTGGAATCAACTCAGTGGTAGTGGGTTCAGTTTATATGTGTGTGTATGTAGTTGTTTTGTTAGTCATAGAGTTGATCCCAACTCTTAGAGATCCCACATGTGCACTGTAGAACTGTGCTCCACAGGGTTTTCAAAGCTATGACCTTTTAGAAACAGATTGCCAGGATTTTCTTCTTAGGGGCCTCTTTATGAGTTTGAACTGCCAAATTTTTGGTTAGTGGTCAAGCACTTAACCATTTGTACCATCCAGGGACTCCATAGATATATTTTTCCCCTGTGTGTGTGTGTATATATTTGTAAATTATAAATCTCTTTTAAAAGTATTATTTATTGATGATAGTAGTGTTATTTACACATAAACTCAAACCAAACTCACTGCCATTAAGTCAGTTGTGACTCATAGCGACCCCCATTGGCTATTCGAGGCTGTAAATCTTTATGGAAGTAGATTGCCCCATCTTCCTTCCACAGAGCAGCTGGTGGGTTTGAACCACTGACCTTCTGGTTAGCAGCCAAATGCCTTATCCACTATACCACTAAACCATCCTGTGGAAAAAATGAAATAGCACAAGACCTTTCTTTAAAGTCTAGGGCAGAGTCAGGGATCAAATTGACAAGACTGTCTGGCAAAATTGAGCAGCTTCTTCTACCAGCACCTGGGCACAGCCACTCGCTGTTAACATGCATTTCCACTAGCTTCTGTGAATATTATCAGCCTCAGAGTCCAACTGCCAAACAGGCTCCTACAGAGAACATAGACCAATTTGTCCAAGTCCAGAAGACTTCGGGGAGTTTGAAAAGGTCTTTCTGTTCTCAGGAATTAATATGTTTATATTAAGTCATTAAAAAAATCAAAAAACTTATTACAGCACTTTTAGACTTAAAAGATTCCCAGACCATAAGCTAAATGTATATTTAACTTTTTTTTTTATTTTCTTTTTTTTAAAAATCCCATTATTTAATCATAATGTGAAACAGTGCCTTTAGAGCTGTCCCTATCTAGTCCATGATTACATACTTTGGATAAGGGCCTGGTTCACAGCCAAAATCCTCTGGTGGATGAGGATCATTAGCCCAGGGCACACATGCAGAAACAAACTACAATATATCTTGCCTTTGTTTTTTCTTGCAAATAGCAAGGCTGTTAGCTAATGTTAATGAAACAGTCATTCTCTGCATACCATTTGTTTTTTAGTTTAGATTCCTTCCTTCTCTCATTCTTGCCTGCCTGCCTTCCTTCTTCCCTCCCTCCCTTCTTCTCTCCCTTCCTCCATCCCTTCCTCTCTTCCTTCCTTCCTTCCTTTCTTTTTTTTTGAAAATGTTTTATTGTGATTTGGGTATAAATTTACAAAGCAGATTCATTTTACTCTCAATAGTTCATACACATTTGGTTTCACGGCACTGATTATCATCCCAGCAATAAAAAGCTCTCCTCCCATCTCCTCCCAGTAACTACCCCTTCCCTGCCTCCTTCTTATCTATGTATTCATGTCTGTCCAGCTTTACCTCTATGTAAATTCTGCCCTTCTAATCTCTCATGGTTGATTGATCTAAGGGGAGCATCTCCCTAGGGTAGGTGTTCTGCTCCTAGGCCTTTCGACAGTTTGGTTGAAAGCTTATCTACTGAAGTGAGTCTAGTTCCAGGCCCAAAGGATAACTTGGGGCCATAGTCTCAGGAGTTCCATCAGTCTCTATCTGACTAGTAAGTCTGGTCATTTTTGTGTTTTTGAATTTTGTTCCACGTTTTTCTGCTCACTCTGTCCAGGATCTCCAACTTTAATCCCTTTCTGAATGGTTGGCCTTGGTAGCTGGGCACCACCTAGTTCTTCTAGTCTCAGAGCCTTGAAGGCTGAGGTTCCCATGGTCCATCAGACCCTTGGACTAATTGTTTACGTATGACTTTGATTTTCTTCATTCTTCTTTGCTCCAGATGAGGGGAGACCAATAGTTGCATCTTACCTTCCCTTCTTAATAGAACTGTCTCTGTAGATAAGATGTCTGTAGAAAGGCAAGATTCTTCAATATGCCCCCCATTTATTACAGGGTGTGTGAAAATACATTAATAGTGTACAGGAATGAAATCAGGCAAGGTGTTTTAGCCTATAGCTATTATTCACGGACAAATGATAAAACCCACCAAACAAGAATTCAAATGAAAATTATATTCACATATTAATTAAACATATGGAATGCATGTATCTATAATAAAAGAAGAAAGATTCAGAGAAGCTGATTTAGAGACACAATCTCAACAGTTTCATATTATCAGTTGGAGATAATGTCATTCAGTTATCTGATTCTAATGCCCACAATCCATACTTAAGAAACAGATTCAGGACTGGTTTCATAATGGTGATCAATGCTGAAAAAAGAAAAAAATCAGCTTCATGCTCTGCATTATTAAATTTAAGTATGTTGTTTTTGATTGCTATCAAGTTGATTCCAATTCATTAGAACCCACTCCTGTGACTTCCATCCAAACAAAAGACAGGCATATGAGCTGAACATTTACAATAGGTAGATACACTCTTTGGAGAGATGAATCATGGGAGAATAAAAGGGCTGTGTATGCACAGGGAGACAGCTCAGGGGGCAGGAGTACATGGGAGGGAAGGACATGGGGAAGAGGTAACTATGGGGAGGAGGCGGGAGGGGAGCTCTTGCATTGTGGGAAATTGCAGTCAATATGTGAGCTGTTGTATGGAAAGTGAATTTGCTCTGTAAACTTTCACCCAAATCACAATAAAAATTGTGAAAAAAGTTGATTTCAATTCATGGCAACCCCATGTGTTACAGAATAGAACTGCACTATGGGATTTTTTTTTTTTTTTTTGGCGGTAATCTTAATGGAAGCAGATTGCTAGGGCTTTTCTTTTATGGTGTCCCTGGGTGGGTTCAAACCACCAACCTGTAAGTTAGCAGTTGAAGGCAAAGTATTTGCGCCACCTAGCAGCCTTTTAACCCTCACAACAACCCTGTGAGGTAGATATTATTTCCATGTTACAGATAATGAAATAAGTCAGAAAAATTAATTTATCCAAACTCATGCTGTAAGTGGTAGACCCAGATTCAACTCAGGTATGTCTGACTCCAAAACACTCCCTACTCTTATGACAATATTAAAGGTTAGGGTTGAAGCTACAGCTGTTAAACCAACCAATAAATAAATAAGTAGATCAATAATAGAGAGATGGATGGATGGATAGATAGACACATAGATAGGTAAGAGTGAAAATGTGCAGAAGGCAAAATATGCCCAAGTAACTACCATGGTTTTTCAGGACATTGCAGTCAAAACAGTATTAAGGTAAAACATATCCCTTATTTTACTTGAATGGACTGTGTTGTGATTTTCTCTCCAATACCCTTTATTTTCCCTTCTCATTTTTAAGTATATAACCTATTGAGTTAGTGTGCAGATGTCCTTCTGAAATGTGGTTAAACATAACCCAAATAACACAATTGAAATCTCAAACAGTTGCAACAGGTTTAATTGAAAGACTCCCTAAGTTCTACATACAGCTTATCTAATATGTAATGAAATATCAAAGCATAGGTAAAAATTACTTACAATGGGGGAAAATGGGACATGTTGCTTTTACCTCCTTTATCCACTTTCCTTCAAAGTCCTGGATGTTATTATTAAATCTGTCCAGTAAGTTTTCTTACAGCCGTTTTAATCCTAACCTAAACTGGGGAAATTTCCAAAGAAAATGCCTGGGTTTTCACAAGTTGCCCACAGAAATAGCAGCTTCTCCAGTGTTGGTGTAAAATTAGTCTTTTTGCTTTGCCATGCAGAAACGCTTTGGTTCTCTAAGTTTTAAAGAGTTAAGAAAATAGATGGAATGTCTTGGGAATGTTGGCAGGGACAGGCTATGGCCCTTTTGCCTTAGCTTTCTCACTCTGGATGGGATCCCAGCACTGTGAGAACTTGGTGATGAATTGGGATTTGTACTCTTCCCTAAATTCTAGTTCAACCCATCAAAAGAGCCAGCTTTAGTGTGCACGACAGTTCTCTGAGAGAGGGGGCTGTTCGGTTATCTCCCTGCTGATGGTTATTTTTACCTTGTCCCTGGTGAGTCCCTAGAGACAAGGAGAAAACATTTTGATTTAGGAGCCATTTGATAATCCTTGAGGGAAAACAGTCCCCAAGGATTAGTGGGGGTAGTGGAGGGAAGGTAGCGGGAAAGGAGAGTGGAACAAGAGGAAACGGTTATTTTGACTGCATTTTTTCCTTGCTGATTAAATCTCAGTGACATTTGAACTTTGCATTACTAAAGGAGCACAGCCCTCCATCTGGGGCCTGGGACCAAAGAGGGGTAAAGGCGGGGCCTGGAGCTGGCATGGCTGCGCTGCTGCTCGGCTTTGAGGACCTGGTATGTAGCTGGGACGGTCTAGTGTGGGACCTGACTTGCAGGGCGCTGAAGACGTGCCGAGAGGGACACCTCCGGGTCTTGCAGCTGATGCTGAAACGATGGTGCGTCGCCAGGGCTGTCTACCAGGTGGGACCTGCAGCTTGTCTTATGTTTCTTTGCAGCATGAGATAGTTTTGGTGAACGGAGAGAGGGGAAAATGGGAATAAACTACTTTTATGTGTGTTGAGGCCTATGAAGCATGTTGCAACAGATAAGTGGAGAGGGTGAACATTGAACATCATCTTCTACATGTCAGACATTGTGCAAGGTGCTTTAGAAGTATTATCTAATTCCACTTTCCAAACAGCCATATAAAGTACATGTCTATGTCACTGCTTTATAGATTACAGAAACTCAGAGAAGGATGAGAGTTGTTCAGGGTCACCCAGCTAGTAAATGGCAGAACCCTGTGATTTAAACCAAAGCTTTTCTGGCTACAGAGACTAAGGATGCTCTTTCCACTATTTTGTGCTCCTCTCAAATGAGATATTTTTTCGAAATGTGTGTGTTGTAGGGGTGACCACCTGGTCAGAGACGTGTGTCCACATAGAACAGGAGGCAAGAGGGAAGGAGCACTGAACAAAAATGTTGAGTCTCATCTCCCCTCCCACCTTCCTGCTTCTTTTAGGGTTGACATAGTGGCCTCTGAAATCAGAAAGTCATGTACACAACTAACACCCAAATCTGAGAAAAAGAGAAAAAAAAAAAAATTTGCAAGAAGTTGGCATTCCTGACTCGACTGGCCATGGGTGCTATACCAGAACATGATACCAGTTGCAATCATATTGACTTCTACTCACGGCGACCCTGTCTGTGTCAGAGTAGATCTGGGCTCCGTGGGGTTTTCAGTGGCTGATCTTTTGGAAATACATCTCCATGGAGCCTCTGGGTGGATTTGAACTTCTAACCTTTCAGTTAGCAGCTGAGCGTGTTAACCATTTGCACCACCTAGGGACTCCCGGCTAGGGGTACAGAGCACTTAAAAGGGGGAGCTGGGAACATCTGATTTCCCTGGGCATCAGTCCAAATTGTTGGCATAAAGCCAGGTCCCTGCTTGCCATGGAGACTTTAGTCCTAATAGCCTCAGTCCAGCCTGAGGGGAACCAGAGTGAGGAGGGAAACTGAGGAGAGTGGAGGGAAAGTAGTTAGTGGGAGAATGTCCACTGACCCAGTTCTTGAGTGGAGGTTTTATTCATGATTCCTCAGTTGAAGGTTTTTTGTAACCTAGTTTATTTCATTAAGTAAATGTGAGTTTTTGGCTGCCTCTCTTTTTGCAAGCTGGTTCACCACAGTGTTGGGAACCAAGCAGGCACAGCTGGCCTTTGTATTTTTAGGTATAATTTGGCTGGTGTGCAATCCCTTTAATGAACAGTAATAGCTAAACTACTCAGGACCATGCAGCTACCCCTTTTCCCAACCTTCCCTGTGGAATGTCTGGATTTGTGTTGAAGGGAAGGCTCCTTGACCAAAAGCATCTGCCACAGGCTACTTCTGCCTCAGTCATGATTTCTCAGAGGGGCACAACCCTCCAAGGAGCTCCAGCTCCTGCTTCTTCACCTGCCCATTGGCAGACCATTAATGCAGTTTCTGAAAATGCGTCTTTTCCAGAATTCTTGTGTTTGAACAGCACATACCTATAAACAAACAAACAAACAAACAAACAACTCACTGACGTCAAGTTGATCCTGAATCATAGAGACCCCTCCTTGGGTTTCTGAGGCAGTATCTCTATCGCCTGATGGGTTTGAACAGCCATCCTTCTAGTAACACCATAGGTATGTAGTGGCGTAGTGCCTTAGGCCTTAGGCACTACCCACTACATACCTATAGTGTTACTATAAACAGCAAATATGACTGTAATAAAAGTTATTAGTTGCCTTGACGTCTACTTCAACTCATGGTGACCCCATGCATGTGAGCAGAATTGTGCTTCATAAGGTTTTCGATGACTGATTTTTCTAAAGTGGATCTCCAAGGAGTCTCTGGGTGGACTTGAACCGCCAGTCTTTTGGTAGCAGTTTAGTGCATTAATGGTTTGCACCAACTAGGGACTCCTATTTCTGTAACAGAGCATGTATGTAAGAAACTTGAGAGAAGTCTTCCCAAATAGGAAAACAATCCTAAAAATGCATACAGTATTTCCAGTGATGAGTTGTGAATCTGAAAGAATTCTGAAAACAATCTTCCAGATGGGAAATTCAAGCAGTAATGTTGTTGGTCTGTCCATCTGAGCCTATTGTGTAACCATGTTTGCAGTTAGATGCCCCACAGAAAAACACTGGGAGTAATTATTTAGTCAAGAAAATTTTGTCGTCTTGGTCCTTGTTGTGATTGTAAATGAGTTTAACCCTGACTCCTTCCCTCCACCTCCCTGTTTGTCTTCTCTTCTGCCTCATCAAGTTATATAAAAACCAGTCTTCTAAATTGAGTAAGCAGGGTGGGCTGGCCCCACCTCAAGAGTCTTTTCAGGACATCCATTAATGTTGTGAGTGTACTGAAGAGAACATTGAATTATTAGCCACCAGACTTGGAAAAAAAAAAAAAAATTATTCCCACTCAACCTAAACTCAATTTAATTCTGAAGGCACTTCTTACACAGCAGTTATGTGTCTGATCCTGTTGTAAACAGTTGAGATTCAAAGGCTAATCATGTCTAGTGTCTACACACTGTTGGTCTGGTCAGCCCATTGGGTGGATGCCTCTTCACCCACACAGCTTTGTCTGCAGCCAGGAGGTAATGCCTGGAAGAGGATTTGGAAAACAGTTGCTGGAGGAAGAGCTAGGATTGGCAAGTGTAAACTAGCCCACTAGCCTTGGAGGCTAAATAACAGGGACCCAATAGCAGTCTGCAGAGCCACATGGGGGCAGATGGAAGAGGATAGAAAAGGCAAAAGCAAAAAAAAGCTGCATTAACCCAGTGTGGTCTGAATGAGTTCCAGACAAGACTTAGCAACTCCTGCACAGCATGTTCCTATTCCTAGCTCACAGTTACACTGGCAAGCAGGGTTGATTTTAAGGGACATTTAAAATAATATATTGGTCCTACCTCCAGAGCTTATAGCCTAGTGGGGGATGTTCAAGAAAATAAATAATTGCATTTCAACAAATAAGAGCTTTGAGAAAAGTGCAGGAAATCACTAACTTTGCTTGGAGAAGACTTTACCAAGAACTCTTTTCATCTCTCATGTTTCCTCCATTATAAAATGAAAGTTAGTAGCATCATAAAATTATGAGGATTAAATAAGTGAAATATGTGAAAGTGTGCTGCAAATACTAAATTATATACAACTGTGAAATGTTGGTGTCATTATTATTTAATATACTGTATTGTGTTTTTTGTCTTGGGAACAATTCATTGAGAGTGCTTTTATTTATTAGTGATAGAATGATGAACGGCCATTGGTAGGGGTTTTGTTTAGGCTTTCATAGTTTACAGTCTCTCCATTAGCTAATGTGGGGGTTGTCTATCCTGAGTGAGCTTTAGATTCAACTGGAGAGCCTTTAAAGACACCTATACATATGCCCTGCTCCCAGAGATTCTGATTTCAGTGATCTGGGGCCTAGGGATTGGTTCATTTTAAAAGCTTTTCAGGTGATTCTAATGTGCAATCCAGTGAGAGCGCCACTGAGCTAAAGGAGTCTCATTCTACTGTAAGGCAGACACTTGCTGCTGTTGTCTGCCATTGATTCCAACTCACAATGACCCTATAGGTCAGAGTAGAACTGCCTGATAGGGTTTTAAAGGCAGTGATCTTTACGGGAGCTGATCACCAGGTCTTTCTCTGTGGAGCAGCTAATGGGTTCAAACTGCTGACCTTTGGGTTAGCAGCTGAGGGCTTAACCATTATACCACCAGGCCTCCTTAATCAAATGCTTCCAAAAACCAAACCCACTGCCATCAAGTCAATTCCAACTCATATTGCTGTTGTTATGTCCTATCGAGTTGGAACCGACTCATTGTGCCCCTCCTTGGGTTTCCGAGGCAGTATCACTACAGAAGTAGATTGCCTAACCTTCCTTCCAAGGAGTAGCTGGTGGGTTTGAACTGTCAGCCTTCTGGTTAGCAGTCAAGTGCACTACGCTACCAGAGTCCCTGATTCCTACTCATAGCAACCTTATAGGACAGAGTAGAACTGCCCCACAAGATTTCCAAGGCTGTAGATCTTTACAGAAACAGACTGCTTCTCTTCTTTCTCCTGTGGGTCAGCTGGTGGGTTTGAGCCACTGATCTTTTGGCTAGCAGCTAAATGCCTTAACCACCACACCACCAGAGCTCCTTGATACAAACTATAGGAAAAATAAAATAAAGAAAAAGAATCTGAATTATTGCCCTCCCATAAATTGCTTCAGGCCCCAAAAACAGAACAAATATGTATGGCACATGTGAGCCTGTTTTAGATCTTATTTTTTTATGTTGAATGTTATTAGTTTTGGTTTTGGTTTTGTTTGTTTTTGCTATTTGTAGAAACTGTACCCTTCATGGGAATTGTCAACTTTGTGGGTTTTTTTTTATTATTATTATTTTCTAATGTCTTCTGAACAAAGCACAAAAGGGGCAAGATACCTGGTCATCTTCTCTTTCTAGTTTTAGGCTATAAGTTATATTGGAGAACTAGGTGAGGGGTGAGGGTAGGCATTTGTCATAGGGCATGGTTCCAGCTTCTTTTCAAGAAGCATGGTTTGGATGTACTTGGACGTTCCATGGTTTCACTCATCACTGCTACTTCTGGAAGGAAGTGTGAATCAGTGGCTATAGTGGCCACCCAGGTTTTAGGAACTTGGGGAGACTTTATTTTTATATAACGGTTTTAACCCAATGCTCTAACACAGGCCCTTTGTGGACCACAGTGCCAGGCCTGCCATGACCTATATATACCACATTCCTTACAAACTCTGTAAGGAAAACAAGTCACTAAGTGAGTCAATACATGGGTCGGCCTTAATAACACGGGATGAGGTTCATTATCACAGAGAACAGTTTGTGCATTTTCTCCTCAGTAGAAACTGTGCTTCTTGAACTAAATTCTTAAAATGTAGATTATTTTTTAATTGTAACTTTATCAACTGTCTGCATGATTAGGTATAGT